CTGGGAGCAGGATACTGCTGAGAGCATTATGTCTTTAGATGCCACACCAAATCTTCACATATAAAGGGCCTTCATGGCCTTCACTGCTGGCCTAAAATGAATCAAAATCACTAACCTACATTTATAACCTAAACTTTAATTTTCTTCTTTCCAACTGTATAAATTTTTTCCAAATAACCCATTCTCTTAATTCTATAGTGTTTCTCTGGGCTGCTCTGGTTCCATTACATTTATCTGGCTGCTAGATTTTTTGTCCAATCAGATTTCAGCCTCTGGGTGTTGCTATGTCAATCAAATCTGCCCAGGACCTTCAGAATCAGCAGCGCTGGTTCATCTTACTTTAACAATATTAGTGAGGAACGTTTTCTTCAACCAATCAGATGTCAGATTTACCCCACAGAGCCAGTGTTCCGTCAGAGCAGCATACCCACAGTCAATATCTATGGAGGCAAATCGTTACCATATTTAGATGAAAAGGTATTTCCAGAAATACTTCATTTCATCTCATTTTTCATTTCACAGTACTTTGCAGGCAGACCATGAAAACAAAAAAGCAAAGTCCGCTGAGTTTTCTCTTTGATTGTGGCATAAATTGTGCAGTGTTAAAGAAGAAAATGCAAATGCAAAATTTTCTTTTTAATTTTAATTAAGTAAAAGGATGAGCAGTGTTGAAGAAGAAAATAAAAATGCAAATATGACGATTGATTACTAATTTCAATTATGAGTCAAACAATGCAGCCACATTCTTAAAATGAAAAAGCATTTCTGGATATGCTTTTTCATTTTCAAATTTTACATTTCAAATTGAATTTTGGTATGAATTTGCTAGGGTACATTTTGAAAAATAAATCTCAAATGTCTTTTTCTTTTTAGCTTTAATTAAGTAAAAGGATAAGCAGTGTTTAAGAAGAAAATGAAAATGCAAACAGGATGATTGATAATTTCATTTATGAGCCAAACAATGCAGCCGCATTCTTAAAATGAAAAAGCATTTTTGGAAATGCTTTTTCATTTTAAATATGGTAACAATTTGCTTCCATAAATACCCCTCAAACAATTTGCCTCCATAAATACCCCCTCTATCCCTTTAGTTTTGTACAAACAAACTATTTAATTACTTACTTTTTGGTGCTTTTTGAAGCGTATGGCGATCAAACCTTCAATTGTTGTTTTCTTTGTACATGACTAAAGGGATACACGCCCTTCAAGGTAGTTTAAAGTCTATTCTTCATACAAAAAAAAAAGGGATAAACGCAAATCTGATGTCTTGCGTATGCATGCTATGCTGATCTGCCGGGGTGAGCTCATCTGACAGAACACCAGCTCTTACTGCAAGGCAACAGTGCTACAAACTACAACCCTCATCAAAATAAGTGTCCCCCCGCTGCAATTACCTGTCCTTTCCAGTAGAGGGCTTTCCCAAAGCCCTGGCAGAAGGAGGAGATGAAGGGAAGACGTGAGGCTGGTCGGTGGATGTAAAGGTAATCTGAGAGAAGAGCCCAAAACCTGAAGGAGGGAGAGAGCATCTCAGTCTCATTTAGTCTGAGCGGATCTTCACTGTGAAAGCTGAGCTGGTCTCACAGGTCTTGATGAACGCGGAATTGGTTCTTATCACTCAGAGTCTCGAAAACCCATCCAGGTGCAAAGATGGCAACAGAGAAGTTATGCTTCCGAATGACATCGAGAGCCTGTCCACAAAGCAGCAGCACTCAGGAGGTGTTCAGACAGGTTTCACGCACAGCTTCTTCATGGCGTTTACCTTATTGGTTTCCAGCTTCCCTCCCACCACCTTTCCTCTGGCAAACACGTCCACCCCGACGTACACGTCCGCCTGGCGGCCTCGCATCCCAGAGAAGACCTTCATCTGCTCCAGGTTCTCCTCGGTCCAGTTGTAGTTTGTAAAAAAACCATCGCAAGCATCGAAAAACATCCTATTGATAACAAATTCTAAATCAGTGTCGGAGAATTCAGTAGAAATTGAATAATTTGTTCCTAAATATAAAATTACACAATGAGAAAAAATTATTGCTTTCAAATGCCGCATTTACTTACAGCAATAAATAATGTTTCTTTCTTCAATAAATTTTCATTAAAGACAATCCTTATACAGTAGTAGCCATTCAAAATGTCCCCACTTTCCTTGGCTGGTCCCCTACTATTCCTTTTTAAACATCAATCTTTGTACCAAAATATTCTTCTTGTCATGATTTGTGGACATTATGATCTAAAAATAAGCGTCATCTCATGGTCAGACCCTGTTTTTCAGTGAAAGGGTGGAGTCTAGGGATGCACGATATAATCGGCCCCCTATCGGTATCGCCTTAAAACTGAATATCGGACATCGGCCCCCCCCCCGATTTTTAACCCGATTTTTGATCAGCTTCTGAGTTTCTAAAGTCCAAAAAAAAAAAAAAAAAAAAAA